TATATAGTATATATGTTATCTTAAACTTATATATTTTAAAATGCCACTACTAGCCAGCGCAGCTAAAAATGAAATACATTCCCGACTGCTTCTGCCGACGGCAGAGGCAGCTTCTTAACGTGGCTCTTGCTTCTCTCTCACCATAACTACTTCTAACCTCAAGCACGGGTCCTTGGCTGTCTGACCTCTACACTCTAGTTATGCAATGTCCTTAGAGAATTCTGTGCACTGGCCACTGTGATGGAAACCAATGGGCCGGGGGTGCTTTGAGTTTATTAGTAATTGTTCTGCCAAAGTTGGTGTTTGTATGACAAGCGTGTAAACCTGTCAGATAATCAGCAGAGGTCCAAGTTGGTAACGGTGTATGTAAAGGGTTCCACCTCGCTGGTAGGACCAGACCCTTGGCAGATGTCTCCTCTCTAATGCTGAGCACTAATTCAGAACGCGTTGGCACTTAACATGGGTAGCGACGGGCCTCTGTGCTGCGTTCACGAGGAGGCGAGACTTTAAAATCTGCTGTTCTGCTCTTGCAGTGATCTGTTGGCAGTCGCAAGTCAGCAACACCTCTGCTTTATTATTTGACACTTTACATCTAAAAAGTCTTCTCTTTCTATTTATGTAACCCATAGTCTTTGAAGAGTATGGAAAATGGCATTTCTCTCTGACCTCTAGAAGTTCAAGTGTCATGGGAAAAAAAAAAAAGAAAAAAAAAAACAGGAACCCCCCCCTTTACTCTTATGGACCTCATTTCAATATACTGTTTACAGTTTGACGGAATTGTATAATTTAATATTTCTCTTGTACTGTAGTTTATATTTATTTACAGATTTTTTTTGTACTGTGTGATTTGAATTTTTTGTTCCTTGCTATGATCAATGTTTTATGTAGTAGAGCACTTATGATCACAAATTAAGGTTTTTGGTTTGATTGCACTACATTAATTTTTTTAATGCAGTTCTGATTTTTTGACTGGACTAAATAAGCTGTGTCTTAATGTATGTGATAAGTACTTTTAAATTTTTATTTCATGTGGTCCATTTATTTTTTTGCATTGTATGTCAAAGCGCTAATTCTCTTGTTGTGCATGTGTAAGATTTAATGGCTCCATTGTATTATTTGACCATGTCATTTTGGAAACACATTCCCAGCTGTAACGTTGTGTATGGTAGTTTTCACTGGATGCTAGACTTTTCAAAACCACTATTCTTCTAATAAATTTTGTTGTGAAAAACTTGAAGGGGTTCCAATTCTGTTGTTTCTAGTGTGCTTTCTAAATGCCCGCATTAATCACCCAAGGGTACAAAATGCAAACTATCACAGATCGAGAGAAGCAGGGGAGGAAGTGAAAATAGAAGGTGAAGCAAATTCTGACTGAAGGATCGAGCTTTGGAGTCTCCGTACTCCGTTTGGTTCTTGTGCTAAATAGGATTGGCAATAAAACCACTTTAGCAACTGGGTAGGAAATACATGCGAAAGCTGAAACGCTGTCTTGTAGCAGCCTGGTCTCATGAACTCCCGTACTCTAATTTACGCTTCCCTACTGGCCACCTTAATTTCTTTAATGGTAAATAATTTATCCGGTGAAGAACGAACAGTCTCTGGGGGGTGGGGGAAGAAAAAAGTGATGTAGGCTTGTTTGTTGAGCGCTTAGTAATGAGTCATGGTAGGAGCGGTGGCAATAAAAGCTGAGCTGGGAGCCCCGGCCCGGTTGGGTTTGGCTGGCGCGTGGTGGGTTAGGTCACAGGGCAGCGTGCCGCCTCCAGCAGCCGCCTTGTGTGCCGGGTCGACGGGACCGGGCTGAGGGAGGTTGCTTAGCTGCTCGCTTGCACCAGTAGGCACTGGCGTTGCGTTTATTCTCTTTGCGGCCACGACCTCGCTCCCTCCGCAGAGAGGGCAGGTCCCCAGCTCCAGATTAACGTATGGAAGGCTCCAGTGGCTCTGTCCTGCTGTCTTCCTGCAAAGGGGCAGGAGGCAAATTCGGCAGTGACGCCATGCTTCAGCTGGCCCTCGTCCGAGACCTATGTTTGCTTTCGTGCGACCGTGCTTTGGGTTGAACTACTTTTGATGTTATGCATTATTGATACCGAAATGCTGAATGCTAAAAAGTAGGTTACAGCAAGTGGTGTATAGTGGAACCCACGTGAGTTTAGGCATTTCTGCTAACCTTTGTGTTCAGTCCTAGGATGATTTTGAGAGGGATGCATAGGGATTTCCTAGCTTTAGGAAGATTTATAATGCTGCACACTGCCTAGCCCAGGTTTCTAATCTCCTGAGAAATTGCCTTTCTCAGCGTGTGCTATTGAAAAGTAGGTAATTTAGGGTTTGCATTTGCTAATGTGATTTTTTCAGTGCCTTTGTTTAAGATCCTTAAATAACTTACATTACAAACTAGCTATTGTATTCCTTGTATACTAATACTGGTATTAAAAAAAAAAATATGGTAAGGTAGCTGGGTATTGTCATTGATTTAGCTTTACTGGGCAACTCTCTTTTAAATAAAAAATTGGTTTGACTAGAGACTACATCTTACGCTTATTCAGGAATAGTGAGTCTTTATGTGTAAATAGCTTGAAAGCCGGGTGCTGTAAACTAGCATTTATCATATTTTTTTCTGTATGTCTGAATACATCTGTCAAATCTATGAAAATAGCCTTTGAAAGTGATGAACCATATTCCCATCTGCCATTCTTCAGGATGTATTACACTCTGCAAACTTTTCCCAGAACATTTTTAATTGACACTTTTAGTCCTGCGATTATCAGAAATACCAAGTTTTTCTGGTTTTCCTGGAGGACTTGCTGATTGTTTTGCACTGTTAAGCTGAAGTTGTTCAGGCTTAAAGGAACAGTCTCAAATTCTTCTTTCAAAGCTCTTTTCTGTAATGTAAGAGTGTGTCATGACGAGAGTGCACAAGATGTTGCACCCAGATGCACAAAGAAGCATCCATACTGCTGTCACAGAAGAGGAAAAGAAACATAATTAGCCCTGTTAGGCAGCTTAAAAAATCTGCTGCTAATTTACCTCAGCTCGTTTCAGCTCAGGATGGGTTTTGAGCTGCTCCGTTTGTTTCTGGAAGAGACAGCTGCCTCTTCTGAACCTGCAGGAGCATATCTGGTCACCTTCTGAAGTAACAGATGCTTCAGGGAGTAACAGTGGACTGTACCCCCCATAACACCTGGGTCACTTTCTGCAACCCAGGTACTCCAGCAGATGTGAAATGAGAGGCTCTGCTGCTTTGTGAAAATGTGTGCTTCAGTGAAGGGGAAGAGCAGAAAGCTTCAGGTCACTACCTGCAAGTGTTGGGATTAATGCTAGACCTTGGAAATAGGCAACTCCCTGACCTCGGCATGAAGGATCTGAAACACTCTTGTGCTGGAAATCAACTGAAGTTTTGTGAGTGAAGCTGATTTAATTGAGGAAATTCCTGAGCATCACAGCTTGATCTTCTTGTGCAACCAAAACCGAGCCCTTGTGTCGTGGCTGCTCAAATGGCGGCAAGGCAAAGCTTGCTCTGGCATCCTCAGTAGGCATCCATCTGATCACCAGTGCCTTTCCTGCCTGAGCATGTGGAGGTCTCTAATTTCCTAGAGGCATGACAAAAGTGGGTCTGGGGGGAGGGGGAGGATTTAAATCCCAATTCAGGAAGATACTTCAGCAAATCACTAATTTCTTAATCTGCAAACTCTGCTCTGGCAGGTGCCCAGCCATGGGTACTTGCTGAACTGTGGTTTTAACTGGAAGTGAGTAGCAGGTTCTTGGATGTGTTTTAAGAATGTGACTCGTGAACAGAGGTACAGACTAAAAGCAATTTCAAAAACAGAGCTTGATATGTTAGGGGCAAATCCAGCAATATGGAGTTTGATACAATGAAGATGGCAAAGAGATTAAAATAAAAGTTGATCTTTTTAACGTAGTTATTCTCAAGACACTTTAATAGATGTTACAATGCTGGAAGGATCCCAAATAACACCATTTGTGGGAGTACTGTTTCCCCTGATCTTGTACGTTTGATGCAGACTCTGTGACTTAAAATCCAAGATGTTCTCAGTTGTCTAGCAGGAAATTCAGAAGAAATCTGAATGACTTCACACTTGTGAATTATGAATTAATTAAGTTCCTTCTTACCCACCTCCATGAAAACCCCAGACAACACAACCTTTGAAAGCTCTCTTTTAGTATCATGAAGAGGGAGGGCAAAACAATTGCATCTTATTTTTACAGGTCACTTTTAATGTGTCAGAATTTACAGGTCGCATTTGAAAGAAAACTTCTAAAGTCTTCTCTTGCCTTCTCCTCCTCCTCCGCCTCTGCAGGTGTCATGCAGCTCTGCAAGAGGTCTATTCTGTACACACTTGAATAAAAGGCACATTTTTGTATGAGATGGCTACGGCTCAAATCTCCAGGAACTGGTTAAAAGCTCAGCTAAAATTAGAAGCGCTTAAGGTATATTTCAAAGTGTAGAAAAATAAGCACCGCTACCTGAAAATACAAAGGTTGCCTGTATGAAAATAGAGCTGCATATCCCCGAGGGACCGAGCAGAGTCTGGGGCTGTAACTCCCCGAGCGCCCACAGTAATGCAGGGAAGGACGGGGCAGAGGCTCCAGCTGCAGCCTGTGCGGGAGCCTGCGATGGATCCAGCGACTGCTTCTGCCAGCCCCTGCCGCAGCCCCAGCCTTACCTCCCTTGCTGGTGTTACCTGGGCTAGCTCCATCGCATCACGGCTTGCGTGCCTACCTCTGCTGCACTCCTGCCTCCAGGTGCAGATCAGCCAGCCTTGTGCCGACAGGAGGGGTGGTTGCTCTGTACAGGGTTATCGGCAAACAGTCTGTAAGAACTACAGTGCTAAATAGGCAGTTTTGTTACACCTGCTAAGGTCTGGAGGTTTTCTTGCTGACGTGCACCCAGATCGTATCATCACGTGTCCCAGATCCCTCCTGCCCAACTAATAAAGCGTAGGGCTTGCTTAACCCGTTTTGGAGTGACATTCCTAATTTTGAAAGGGGCTTTTATGGTCTCCTTTCTTAAAGCTGAGCCTTTGACTCTGCTTTTCTTCTCACTGGGCTTTAGAGGAAGGCTCTGACACTAACTGTTGAGAGTGACTCTGGCTCTGCAGGGGAAAAACTGGCACGGGGGGAAGCCGAACAGCTTCCCCACACATGTGAAGGGGTTTTCATACACACAACTGATACCTGTGCTGGGACGCTTGCTGTAACATAAGCCTGAGATGCTTGCTTGGGGAATCCACTGGTTTCTGCAATGGTCCCCTTTTAGGTGAAGGTGATGGTGCAGTTTTTTCATGTTTTCAGATGTGCTGTAGTCACATGTGGTATCATCCTCAGATTCCTTTCAGGCCTTCAAAGCAAGTAGCTACGTGTGAGGTGTTAGTAGTGGTTTAAAACAAACTATTTGACTTTGAAAGGAGACTAAAAAAAGATACTGTAGGATTCTGGTTTTGCATAAGAAGCTGTCATAACAAATGTACTCTGTTTGTATGGAAATACAAGTTTTCTTCTGATTTCTAACCAACAAACATCAGCCTGAGATGTGAAAGCTAAACCAGCTTACTCGGTACCTGAAGTGTGTTCGCTGATAACAAAGCTCTTGTTGGACTATGGTGACAGCTACCTAACCTAACAGCTCGCTGGAGGTCTGCCTAGCTGTAATTCAGTGAGCTTTTCTGCTGATGCGTAAAAAAAGCAGATTTTGGGTCCAGCTTCAGGACCTGTGTTGGCTTTTCTCTAATAGACACAAGTGTGTACAGTAAGGGTGACTGCTCGACTGCTCTTTAATTCTAGCCTTCTTGCCTATACCTGTTCTTATGCTGCTGCCTTTACTTTTGTTTGAGTGTAAACTGGATTGCTAATTAATAAAAGCAAAAATAACGTAACTCTGGATTTAAAAGAAATATGCCTTACAGCGCCTTTAATGATCATATTATTAAATTAGGAATAATAATTGGCAACAAAGCTGAAAATCAGTGTAACCTAGCACAGGGTGACAAAGGTAGCGGCTTAGTGCTGGCAAAGAGCAGGTTGTTGAGGTTTGGGTTTTGGCTGCTTCGTCTGTTTTTTTATAGCTATCGAGTGAAAAAAGGGACTTTCCTCACAAGATTAATAAGAGAGTCTTCATCAGGACAACAGGGAATCTGGCCCTCAGCCTTTTGTGGGTCAAAAATCCCCACGGCATACGTAGTCTGGGCTCTGGCGTCACTGTCTGAATGTGTGAGTCGCTG